ACTGTTAGCGGTATAATTGTGTTAACGTTAAGTGTCTAGAACCCTGTTCAGCACAGTGGGGTAGACAGCAGACACTGTGGGGGATGCAGCCTGTCGAGAGTCCTGGGGTGGTGCAATCCTTCATGGAAACATCAAGCGCATAGTTGTACATTGCGAGAAACAGTACACCTTTGTATCCGCTGTATTTGCCTGATACAACATATTTGAATATTGCGACAAAAGTGTGCACCATTGTGTCCGTTGGACATGACTGTTATGGACACACACACACACACACACACATCTCAGAGGACATGACTGTTATGGACACACACACATATCTTAGAGGACATGACTGTTATGGATACACACACATACCTTAGAGGACATGACTTATGGACACCCACACATATCTTAGAAGGCATGACTGTTATAGACGCACTCACACCTTAGAGGACACCTAAGATATGTGTGGATGTCCATAACAGTCATGTCCTCCAAGATGTCAGTTTGTCCATAACAGTCATGTCCTCTAAGGTGTTAGTGTCTGTTAGTGTGTGTGTGTTAGCGTGTGTGTTAGTGTGTGTGTTAGCGTGTGTGTGTGTGTGTGTGCGTGCGTGCTTGCGTGCGTGCGTGCGTGCGTGCGTGCGTGCATGCGTGCGTGCGTGTGTGTGTGGGTGTGTGTGGGGGTGGGTGGGTGGTTGTTGGTGTGGGTGGTGTGTGGGTGTGTGTGTGTGTGTGTGTATGTCCATAAATTAAATAGTTATCACATGAAATGGGTGTTTTAAACTGTGCATAATAAGGCGTACGCGCCGCGGGGCTTTTGCATAGATCACAATGCCAAACCTGAAAAACAGTTTTAACTGCTAACGTCTCATATCTAAAAGTGCGGTTTTATTACCACCAGTGTACAATGGCTTCCATAGATTGCGTCGCGGTCATCTGATGTATTATTTTTCTTGGCACTGATGCTTTCAAAAAGTTCGGATCTGATTATTGGGGATTCGAATATGTCAGTTGTTCAGTTCTTGCACATAAACTTGACATGTCGCCATGTCTTCTACCTCACCGAGATTATCCTGAATACCCCTTGGTTCAGAATTCAGCGACGAGAAATAGTCCCCCAGGTCTTGTATATCAATAGGGTTGGGGCGTTGCTGTCGTCCAGACACACGCTTTATGATGTCCCAGAAACGTTTAGAGTCTACCTCTGCTGCTGTTCCTAGGTCATTCCGTTTATATTGTACAAACTGGTTCTTCTTAATTCCACACAGTTATATGTATTCATTGCACACTTTGTTATACTAAATAAGGTATGAGTTATCTTTAGTTTCTTCTGAACGCATTTAAATAATGGCACCGTTCATGTTTTTTACAGAGACATTCATCATCATCGGGGAACATGTCACTCGATGCTGAACCATAACCTATCACACTACACCCTAAATGCCTAATAGGGGGCACGGGGTGGAATACTGTTAAAAGCGGCGTTTAAGCCAACTGCCTCCCTCACGCAATAAATCCCTAATAAATGTACAGTCACCGATTTGATAGTCAGTTTCAAATCTTCCATTCACATTATGTATATTTAGAATTAAACATCTTTCCAAAAGAGTTTTTCTGAAGTTATTTAGTAATTTATCACATGAATATATTTCCATCTCAAATTGTGTACAAGAAATCCACTAAGTAATTATAACTTTCAACATGGTGAATAACATAGTTCTCCATATAGTCCCGCGTCACGCCGATTATACTGTTCATGTACAATGGACCCGTGAAGATCCGGGGTAGAACAGGTCCCCTGCAACCCATTTTTGCCATAAAAGGCGAATATGCTTTTCGTAAGAGGCAACTATAGGTATCGGGTGGACAGATTCGCTGACTTGGTTGATGCATGTCATCATATCCCAACTGCGTGGATCGATGCTGATGATATCAGCCACTGGATTGTCTTGTCCAGACTCGATTATTTACAGACCGCCGTCATATAGATGGACTATTGCTGAGTTTTGCGTTAAACAACAAACCAACCAACCAACCATGATTTTGACCACTGGATTGTCTGGTCCAGACTTGATTATTTACAGACCGCCGTCATATAGTTGGAATATTGGAGAGTGCGGCGTTAAGCAACAACCATACAAACAAACAATTACAAGTACAGCAGCTGGGTACACTTCAAGCGTACACTACAGCAAAATATCTACCCCATTTTGTCCATCTTTGTTATCATACCAGGTCGATCTCTCCGGCTGGATTATACACATAATGTAGCTCTACTGAATCTAAACATACTTTTATCCAACAGAATAGTAATAACATGTTCTCTGTAACGAACATCAATAACATATCTTACCAGTGAATATTCTCTCAAAAGTATTCCTTCCAAATACCCCCAAACCGGGACCTTTTTGTGGCTGGTAAACAATAAAGATTATATTCTGGCAAAATGTCACTAAAGTAATATTTTATTGACTATGTTTCATATAGAGCAACACTGTCATGTTCAGATACAAACAAAAACAAAGCCAATGTCGGAGAGTGTGTTGGTTAAATTTTCTGTATTCCTTGCAATTTAAGATTGACCTTGACGGAAGCACCCGTTCCTGATCCTCAATTGACCATGTTCCACTTGAGTCGTGATCTGCGACGGGAGCCGACAACTGATGCTCATCACCTTCCAGAGTACTAGCTGCCTTGTCCTCAATAACGAGCCTGCCATTCTTATAATAGCCCCTCTTGTTCTATGATCTGAGAAAGTCAGTTTCTCAGTCGCTAATTACGAATGATTGCAAAAAACCGAGCAAAAACAATAAAAAACGTGAAAATAGCAAAAGTATCCTATATTTCCAATCATACTTTGTTGATTAGAATAGTTTACATTAAGGGACGATATGTACGGTGTAAACCCTTAATGTAAAACAAATATAAAAAATGACATTAAGGGTTGCGTTGTTTTTTCTCTTAATGTATATTTTACATTAAGAGTTAACACGTACATTAAGAGTATTTTTACATTAAGGGTTGTAACAGTGCTGTGATGGTAAACCAAGGGATATAGAGGTCGATGAATGTTGAATATAACACGTGTAGTGATTGTAAACACAGGGATTTAGAGCGTAAGCTGTGATTGTAAACAGAGGGTTGAAGAGGTCGATAAATATTGAAAATAACGCGTGCTGTGATTGTAAACACGCCACCACTTGAGTAGTCGATTCCTGCTCAAATAGATATGTCAGGTGGCTTGGGATAACTATAGTTTACATAAAAAGTGCATAGGTTAAATCCCAGTGTGCTTACATCCCAGTGTGTCCACATCCCAATTTCCTTACAGAAATTCCTGTTGGCACACTGGGAGTTCAGTTTCCTCCCTATTTATGTAAATGGACGGAACCACTATTGTGTGACTTATTTCAGCTAAGAGAAAGATGAAAAATTGCACACTACAGTTTGGCAAGTCCACGCATCTATTTCTGAGCAATAACATCCACATTCGACCAATATGTGTCACGATGTACCTTGCCCTCTGAGACACACTCACAGCAACAGGTGTTTTATGTGTATGTCACAGTGTATAGACCATGCTACGTTACCGCCTTTTATGTTGCTGCCTTTAACTTTTATTTTCATTATTCGTATTTCGACCTTCACACCTTAGTTTGTAAAATCTACAGACAACGCAAGGAATATAAAATATGGAAAGTATATAATTCAGACAAAACGTCTCTTGTAAAACGAATCTCAAACACGTTACATTAATATCCAAGTTGTTTAGCAAGTAAATGCATATGAAGCGACCCCGTGGTATTTGATTGTCTAACTAAGCATTGTGTTTCTCTCTGTCTGCCTGTTTGTCTGTCTGGCTGTCTGTCTGCCTGCCTGTCTGTCTGTCTGTCTGTCTGTCTGTCTGTCTGTCTGTCTGTCTGTCTGTCTGTCTGTCTGTCTGTCTGTCTGTCTGTCTGTCTGTCTGTCTGCCTGCCTGCCTGCCTGCCTGCCTGACAGTCTGTCTGTCTGTCTGTCTGTCTGTCTGTCTGTCTGCCTGCCTGCCTGCCTGCCTGCCTGCCTGCCTGTCTGTCTGTCTGTATGTCTGTATGTCTGTCTGTCTGTCTGTCTGTCTGCCTGCCTGCCTGCCTGCCTGCCTGCCTGCCTGTCTGTATGTCTGCCTGCCTGCCTGCCTGCCTGCCTGTCTGCCTGCCTGCCAGTCTGTCTGCCTGCCTGCCTGCCTGCCTGCCTGTCTGTCTGTCTGCCTGCCTGCCTGCCTGTCTGCCTGCCTGCCTACCTACCTACCTGCCTGCCTGCCTGCCCGTCTGTCTGCCTGCCTGCCTGCCTGCCTGCCTGCCTGCCTGTCTGCCTGTCTGCCTGCCTGCCTGCCTGTCTGCCTGCCTGCCTACCTACCTACCTGCCTGCCTGCCTGCCTGCCTGTCTGCCTGCCTGCCTGCCTGCCTGTCTGCCTGCCTGCCTGCCTACCTACCTGCCTGCCTGCCTGCCTGTCTGTCTGTCTGTCTGTCTGTATGTATGTCTGCCTGCCTGCCTGCCAGTCTGTCTGTCTGTCGACCACACCAACTTGCAGACTACGTATACGGTTTCCCGATTGGCTGATGATATGGTGGGCCGGGTTTGGGTTGCATTGCTGCTCCGAACGACGTCACTATTGTTGTCTCCGGATTGTTTGTGTCTTCATAAATACCAGTAGATGAAGTCTGTAAAGTTATTACTGTGACTTGATTTTTATACGAACCTATTTCAACATGACATTGATCCAGGTATAAACGTAAACAGTGATGTGCACACTTTGCGTCCTCATATGAATATTCATCAATCAACGGAAGACAATAGTGAAGTCAATATTGTTTAATAACACATCCTAGTCAGCAGTACTGGTACACCATTGATCCAGCATGTCAACCAATTAGAGTACATCTTTAAGCCGTTCATGTAAGTCTCACTGTGGGACAATATTCAATAATCATATTTCCCCAAGATGGATAGATTATCCTTGTGACGTATAGCTTGCTCCG